GCACCTGTCTCAGGTGTGCCCTGTGATGTCATTCTTCGGACTGCCTTCTTGCTCTGAGTCCCTTCAATTTGGTTGTGGAGAGAGCCTTATGATCCTGAAGAAACCCTAGCTTTGGTCAAGGGCATTTAGGAGATAAAAGCAGCTGAGTTGTTGGGGCCAACAAGCATTGGGGGAGGGGGAGGAGGGATTGACCACGAAGTAGCGTTTGAAGCTGAATATTGGCACGTGCTTACTTTCAGAACTGGTGACAAGAGTTCAGCTCTCCAGGCTGAATCCCGTGTTTTTCTTCATTCCAGTCACCCTCATCCTAGTTTCTCGTCTAGTGTTTTGGTTCGATTTTGATTTTAAGATCTCTGAATTAGTAGCTGCTGTTGGGTAAATGCCTTTTTTTTTTTTTTTTATCTTGAATTCTAATTGGTCTTAGTAATAAAAACCTGGAGTCAGATTTAGGGGTAAAACCTGAAAGATTAGAGATTCAGAGCAGCTAGCCACTAGAAAGACTTCTTACCTCTACCGAATCCTCAGACTGAATGGGCTAAGCTCTCTCTGCAAGTCCTCAGCCTGGATGCCCTGAGCTCCTGTCTCCTCGCGTAATTCATTCTTCTCTCGGCCCAGCCATATCCTGTCCTGTTTCCACCACTCTAGTGCTGGGATTAAAGGTTTGCGCCACCACTGCCCGGCCTCTGGCAGACTAGCGACTTGGCTGTGCACTCTGTTCTTCAGGCAAGCTTCATTTGTTAGACCACAAACAAAATATCCCCGCGTTTTACAAAGCGTACTGCTCAGCAGTTCGCTGCTAAAGAGAAACGCTAGGCTGAAGGGTAAAGGTTCTGATCTAAGAGCATTTGCCTGTTTTAGAGCATACCCCGTAAATGAAATTATAGTATACAGCGATTTGGAGTCAACTGTGAGTTGTGTTATCAATACCTGTTCCTTCTGTTTTTGTGGTAGTGTTTTGGCCTGAGCCTAGGCTTTGCATATTAGCTTGTTCCTGTTTGTTTACTTTTATAAAATGTAACACTTAGTTTCTTCTTTTCCTCCTAAACTTTTTTTTTTTAAGTAAATACTTTTGCTTTATATCTAGGTGACAAAACTCGCCCACCTTCCTCAAGCCCCTCCAGTATTATCCGGCGCACTTCCTCCCTGGATACGCTTGCAGCTCCTTATCTTGCTGGGCACTGGCCCCGAGATAGTCGTGGGCAAGCAGCACCCTGCATGAGGGACAAAGCCACACAGGTAGGTTTCTTTCACTTGTTCTATCTACTCTTAGGCACATCAGAATTTCCTCAGAAGTGTATCTGAGGTTCAGGTTTCCTGGCTGAGCTTCCAGATACTCTCCTGAATTGTGTTTCCTTGGAATGGAATGCACTTTTCAAGAAGGTTTCAGAAATAATTCCCTTATAGATAGGTAATGGTGGGTGTACTTTTACCGTTTGTTACTAGAAGTTAGGGTAGAATTTCACAATATTTTCATATCTGGAATTTGGGTTTGAATATTTGTAATAGTAGGTTTACTCTGCATGGTATTTAACATTTTTGTGTCAAAAACTTCATATACTGGGAAACTGTATTATATCGCTAGTACTTTTTAATTATTGTGTGTCTGCATGCCTTTGCCATAGAGTGTGTATGGAGTCAGTTCCCCCTTTCCCCGTTACATGAGCTCTGAGCTTGAAACACAGGTCGTCGGCAGTGCACCTTCATAAGCTCCATCATTGGCCCCATTGCTAACAGATCCATGAGTGTAAACGTCTCAGAAATGGAAGTTCCATACTTTTACATTTATAAAACTGATTAATTAAAGGAATTTTAGAAAGTCATTCATATAATGATTCATATTCATAGTTAAAGAATTGAAGTCCAATAATGTGCAGGCTTTTCATGATTGCATGCTAGTTTGGAGTTTCTTTTTATAGTATTACCACATTGTAATTAATTAAATATTTGTATAATCTTTTTTTAAAGACTACATAGATCTGTCTCGAGGTAAAGAAAAGATTCCTATTAATTTTGAAGATAAACAATGACAGTGAGAAGTTATATAAGGTACATAAGTTCTCAAGGCTAAGAAGCAGAAAAGTCTTAGAAATAAACTTGACCCCAAAGCCATAACCTTCACCTGGTGCTGGGATTAAGTCTGTGCTCCCACACCTCGCCTGAGAGCACAGGAATACTAACTACTGCTACCGTTCCTCTCTATACTCTGCTCTGTTAACAGCCTACACCATATTGGTAATGGACATGAAAGGGAGGTTAAAGTATTTGTAATTAGCCAGTGCTAAGACACCTTTGGAGAGCTTGTGGCATTGGAAATGTGCTGGAGAAGTGGCTCAGTGCTCAGGATCACTTCTCTTGCACCCGCATGGTGGCTCTCAGTCTATAGGCACACAAGGTGTACATACATGCATGCAGGCAAAACATTATACACATAAACAATAAAATGTTAAAATACTAAAATTTGTTCTAATAATACTTCTGACTTTAGGTAGCTACATTATTTAACAGAATAAAGTCCGATGCAATATTGTTAACTACTTATTAAAGTAGCTTTTCTCTCCCCTCTACATAGACCGAGAGTGCGTGGGCTGAAGAATATGAGAAGAAGAAAGGGTCTCATAAGCGCTCAGCGTCCTGGGGCAGCACAGAGCAGCTTAAAGAGGTCAGCAGTGTGCTGTGGCCAGTTCTCTCCTGGCCAGGGAAGGCACACCTGTGTGTGTGTGTCTGTGCATGAACATTTGGAGGCCAGAGGTCTGTGTCCCTCGACCTTTTGAGATAGGTCTTTGACCAAACCTCTTGCTGTACAGTTGTTCTGAGCGGCCCCATCGAATGAGAGTAAAGACTCGCACCCAGATTCTTTGGTCAAATAAGCAAGTGTTATTTTCTGTCAGACAGGGCTCTCTCTCCTAAGCAGGGTTTGGAAATACAGCATTGACCATAGAGAAAAGTGGGACTTACATAACCCTCCAAAATGGCATGACCTACGGGGTTTTCAAGAGGAATTTCAGAATTATTTGATAGAATTTTTTTAAAGATTTATTTATTTATGTTTGTATACGGTATTCTACCTTCATATATGTCTGCAGGCCAGAAGAGGGCACCAGATCTCATTACAGATGGTTGTGAGCCATCATGTTTTTGCTGGAAATTGAACTCAGGGCCTTTGGAAGAGCCATCTCTCCAGCCCTAGCCTAGAACATGTCTTTATCAGGATATACTCAAGGTGTGAGTAAAACTCATTAGGGTGGGGAGCACGTCAGATTCCAGAAACAGGTTAAAGCACTTCGCAGAAACGAACTTGTTCTGACCTTATAACAAAATGGCTTCCATCTTTAGAGTCAGGCTAGTCCTTCGTTCCCTCCTTGTCTTATGCATCCCTTTAAATCCTAGATAGGAAGCCGTCATTTATATCTGCTGTATGAGCTGATAATCCCAGCAGTAGGAAACAACTTTTTTATTTGATGAGGGAAATTTGTATTATGACTAGCTTTTCTCTAATATGTCTGGTTGGTTAGCATAGAAAGGATAAACTTTTCCTAAAGCTGTCTCTTTGTTTTATATCAATCAGGTCGAGTGTTTTATATTGTAGAACTGTTTTAGCTAATGATCTTCCTGTTGATAGATCGTGCTCTGTTTTGTTTTAACCGGCATCTTTCTGATAATGAGGGGGCCAGGTATGTTGATAGATATTATATATATGTATATGTATATATGTGTGTGTGTGTGTGTGTGTGTGTGTGCGTGTATATAATGTATAGCCATTTTGTCCCCTTTGTCAGAGAATTCCTTTTGGATTTAATGTTCTAGCCTTTGTTGAGGACAGTTGTATTCTTTTCCACAACTACTTCCTGATGAAATTAGGATGTCATCAGAAGCATCTAGTTGGTTGGCCCAGCAGAAGAGACAAGGAACAATCATGTTGGCTGAACTGGTTCATATCAGCTTTTAGCAAGTCTAAGGCTTTCTGGTTTTGCAGGACTACTCGAGGCTGGAGTGGTGTAGATCACCTTTGGAGCAGTTTGCAGTCCACAACTGATCTCTGGATGGTGTCTACCAGCCTTGTGGAACCCCTGCCAAGACATACAGACTAGGGACAGACGTTAAAGTTAAAGAACTTAAAGGAAACTTACATTTAGATCTTCAAGGCCTGTAGTCCTGGTTGTCCTAAATTCACTCTATAGACCAGGCTGGCCTTGAACTCACAGTGATATACCTGCCTCTGCTGCCCAAATGCTGGGATTAAAGGCATGCGCCACCATTGCCCAGCGGAACCTTTTTTTTTTTTTTAAATTAAACATTCAAAATGTCATATTGAGTAGATCTCTGAAAAGTTTTGAGGGCCATCTATTCAGTATACTTGGTTTAAATAAACTTTATTTTTAGTTTTTTGTTTAACCCTGAAAACATACATAGGAGGCTAAACAAAGTTTATTCCCTAAATAATTTCCTTTTGTGCCCAGCATGACTGCAAGCATGTTCTGAACATATATTAAAGTTTGGTCATTTATATGATAAGATTGCGATTCAAACTAAGTTTTAAATTGATTAGCCTTTTTATTTTAATATTAGCCCTTAGAAACCTTGAACTTGTAGGGGTTTTAGACAGGGTATGCTGTAGGCCCAGTAGTCCAGCAGTGAGAACCAGCCCTTAGCTTGTGCACAGTTTGCCTCCTGTAACCAGCCCCGCATATCAAAGTACCTCTGCTTTTATCCTTTAGACCGTCTGTAGAGCAGGCAGCAGGCTGTGCACATTACCAAAGTCAGCATCCTTGCTCTAGAGCTCCTGTGGGACCAGCACTTGTGAAATCCTCATCCCCTCATCTTCCGACTGTTGTGCTTGGGAGCCCCCCCCCCCCACCAGCCATCATCTAGAACCTTCGTTTAGGAGCTTGCTCCTTCTGTGAGGAGCCTTTAAGATTGGTGATGGAAATCACATCATATTTGTAGATCTCTAAGGCTACCTAGAAGTCATATAACATTCTGGCAGTGTCTGAAAACTGATATTTTCTGCATATGATAGTGCTTTTTGAGATTTAGTAACTCAGCATAACCAACTTTTTTTTTTTTTTTTTTTTTTTTTTTTTTTTTTTTTTTTTTTTTTTTTTTGGTTTTCTTTTTTGAGACAGGGTTTCTCGTCTGTGTAGCCCTGGCTGTCCTGGAACTTGCTCTATCCCAGTCTGACCTCAAACACACAGAGGTCTGCCTGCCTCTGCCTCCTGACTGCTGGGATTAAAGGTGTGAGCCACCTGGCTTCAGCATAACCATCTTGATTAAAATGGCTCTGTGTTGTGATTATTGTTGTCTGTGTCTGTAATTAATGATACTGCATTTCACCCATAATAGAAGCAAATTAGAAAAATGTAGTCAGAGGATAATAATGAGATAGCCATTGAAACTGTGTTTGTAGCCAGACCTGGTGGCAGATGCATGGAGTCCCAACACTTGGGAGGTGCAAACAGGACGATCAAGACTCGAAGGCTAGCCTTGGTGTGGTTTGAATGTGGTGTCTGCCATAATCTCATGCCAGTTGGGGCACTTTTGGGAAGTAGGTGTAGGAGCTATGGCCTTGAAAGACTACGTCTTGTCACCGGAACAGGCTTGAGGCTTCAGAGCCATGTGTCAGTCCCACCTTGCTCTTGGCTTTAGTGCTTCAATAAAAGGTGTAAGCTCTCAGCTTCTTGTTCCAGCCGCTGTGGTTTGCTCTATCATCATGGACCCTTGCCCCAAATAAACTCCTTCTTCTGTGTTGCCTTGGTCATGGTATTTTATCACAGCAGTTAATACACTTGACTTCTGAGATCATTGCATTCACTGCCTAAAGATGTTATCTTAGGTGTATTATGTGGCTTGGTGTTCTTCTGGCTCGCTTCCTGTTGTTCTGATAGACACCTTGACCAAAAGCAGCTTTTTTTTTTTTTTTTTTTTTGGTTTATTTTTTTAAAGGATTTTCTGGGCTTAAAGTGAAAGAGAGGGAGGAGAGGGAGAGGATGAAAATGGAAGCTGGAACAGGCTTCATATTTCATCAAAACATAGAAAGCAGAGAGGATAGAAAGTGGAGTAAGCTCAAAGCCTCCCCCAGTGATGTATTTCCTCCAGGAAGGCTCACCTCCAAAAGGTTCCCTTCTCAGAGATCATCATCTGGTGAGACCAAGAGTTCAAACACATGAACCTGTGGAGGACAGTTCTTACTGAAACTAACACCCTGGGCTTGATTTGTAAATATCCGTTAATTTTTGTATTGGTTTGAAACTCGTTGAGTGGTCGAGCCTTCCTTTAATCCTAGCTGAGTTTGGGACCAACCTGGTCTACAGTAGAGCGAGTTCCGGGACAGCCAGAGTGGTTACACAGAGAAATTCTATCTCAAAAAACAAAACAAAACAAAACAAAACAAAACAAAAAACCAAAAATTTGAAGCTCAATAAAGAAATCTAAATAAAAGTTGATAAATGGTAAAGGCAACAAGAGAGTAAGTTATTTCTAAGCACAATTTAGAAAACTCTTTAGTACTTGAGAAGCTTCAAGATTTAAGAACAGTGTTGAGTACACTTCCTTTTCTCTTTAAAGGAAATATATACATGTATGTGTGAATATATGTATATTCAGTTAGATTTTGTAATATGGTTTAAAATTTCAAAGTGTTAAGGGTGAATTTTACTGGTTCTTATTAAGCAAGAATGTGTTTATTTGGTGTGGAAAACACTTTTGATTCTGCCTGTTTTTCTTTTCAGATTGCAAAATTACGCCAGCAATTGCAGAGAAGCAAACACAGCAGTCGTCATCATCGAGATAAAGAGAGGCAGTCTCCATTCCACGGCAACCATGCAGCTATTAACCAGAGCCAGGTAAGGAAAGAAATGGCTTTTCTTGTAAGTGGTTTCCAAATTGTTTAGGGCAGAATGTCCAAAGCTATGTGAGTAGTAATGACAGAGACTGATAGAGAAAGCCTAAATTACAGTTTGGTCCTTTAAATAAAAAAGTTTTCTATTTTGAGTTGATAAATTCTCATGATTATTAGTTTATATAGGTTGTATGCAATAGAAATTATGAGTAAAGGAATATTTTTTGAAATATTTTGAGTGTTGTAAACCTATAGTTTGATTCTAGCTCCTAGTAGCTTTTTCCCAAGTATAATACTGTACTTAAAAACTGTGATTGAGGGGGTTGTGGTTAAAGAGAATTTATTACTCTAGCAGAAGAATGCCCAACTTGTATCTCCAGCTCTGGGGAATCCAATTCTTACCCTCTTCCTAGGCATCTGTATTCACATGCACATACACACACAGATGTACAAATACACAAATAATTAACTACAAAGTAAATCTTAAAAAATAGAAGTATTATTGGATGTTATTGTTGGTGAGAATCTGAAATGTTAACTGTCAACAAAGAGATGTAAACGTTAATATGGAATAACTCATCATTGGAATAGTAACGGAAAATCACCATCTTTGCATTCAAAGGGCTAGAGACTCATGATTTTACTGTTCTCATCCTTTCTAATTAACTCTAATAACTGTTAGTTTCTTTAAAAGTAAGACTGCTCTGTATTCCCCATCGTATTTTCTTTCCAGGTCAATTTAGGGTTAAGATTGAATTTTACCAAATTAATTGGTGCATTATAAGAGGTGATCGGGGCTTTGAAGTGATTTTTGAATACCATTTTATTAAGCTGGGCGGTGGTGGTGCACACCTTTAATCCCAGCATTTGGGAGGCAGAGGCAGGTGGATCTCTGTGAGTTCGAGGCTAGCCTGGTCTTCAAGAGCTAGTTCTAGGACAGGCTCCAAAGCTACAGAGAAACCCTGTCTCAAAAGAATACCATTTTATTAATGTGAAAAATTTTAGCTAGGTATACTGACAGAAACCTGTAATCTTAGTATTTGGGGAGGCTGAGACAGTTACATGTAGCAAGAGTTTCTCCTAAAAACCAAAAAGCAACATCAATAACAAAATCATAATTTTTTTTTCTTCTGGAAGATAGGGTCTCTAATTTAGTCCTTGCTGTCCTGGAACTCGCTCTGTAGACCAGGGTGGCATTGAACTCTGAGATCCTCCTTCCTCTGCCTCCTGAGTGCTGGGTTCAATGAAGTGTACCACCACCATCCAACTAAAAGTTGATTTTTCTTAATAAAAGTTACCGAGCTTAGTCTTGTAAAAAGGCTCAGAGTACAGCATGCTTCCAAGCCTGAAAACACCCATATTTAGTTACAGAGCTCACATGGTAGAAGAAGACAATCAACTCTCCGTAAGTTCTCTGCTCTTCACTCGTGAGTGGTGCATGTGCGTGCACACCCGACACACACACACTCTAGAGTTTGGTGGTGCATGCCTTTAATTCCAGCACTCAGGAGGCAAGAGGATATCTGAGTTGGAAGACAGCCAGGCTGTCTAGGGAGTTCCAGACCACCCAGGGTTACATAGTGAGACTTGTCTCAAAAAGCCACACCCATATAAACCAAAAAAGAAAATTTATCTAGCTTGAGTTTTTATACTTAACAAATAAAATACTTGTCTTGTGTATTAGCTAACCCCAAATCAGACAAATCCTGACTGTTCTATTGGTCATAATGTTGTTTAATTGAAACTCTCAGACCATAAACATATTAAGTTATTGATATGGTGTTGCTGAGGTAGGTTCTTTCTCTAGAGGAAAAAAAAAATTATTGAAGCCATTCAAACTTCCGAACAGTTTATTAAATTTGTTGGCATTGTAGTACTCATTAGGAAAAGGGACAATAAAGATATAATCTCATTTTGAAGGGATGTAAGTAAACAGTTAATCATAATGCTGACAGGATGAAGTCACCGTGCCAGGGTCTCTCTCTGAACTGACGGCGAGTCCTTCAGAACGGCGTCTTAGAGAACGTGTTGTCTGGTTAGCCCATCTCCTAGAGGTAGATAAAGTCATGGCCACAGTAGGGGTAGCAGCAAAAGATTGGGAGAGGTAGACAACAGGAAGACTGGGAGTTTTCAGACTCATTATTAGTACAGTGGCTTTGTTCTCCTGTACCAGGGAACATGTTTTCTAATGCTGGAATAAAGCTCATGATCTCAGGCGTGTTTTGTAGTGATTATAGGCTTAGAGGACATGATGATTTAGGAGAAGACAAATACGCAAGTTGGGAAATCATTTAAAGAACTCGTAATGTGGGTAAGGAATCACAGTTGACCTCAACGTGAACCTGGTCATAGACTAGGAAATTGAGACCCTGAGAGGGCGGTTATTTTAGAGCTTACGGGACAAGCTTGTGTTCTAACGTAGACATTCTGACTTGAGATTCTGAGTTTTTATGTTTTTTGACTGATGGCTGCTAATAGGTAATGATGAGAAATGAATAAAAGATGAAGCCAATTTTAGCCTCTGAAGTACAATTTAAGTCAGGATCATGTCTACCAAAAAGTTACCTTCTGGGCATGGCCTAGGTCTTGGCTTCGGAACTCACTACACCGGTTCTCAGCAGAAAGCCTGCGTGAGGCTGTTGTTGCCCATCAACATTTCGTTATCAGCGTGGAGGGGCCCATGAGGCCCCCATTACCTCACTGAGGCTCTATTGGCAATAATGGTGATGGGAGGAAGGAGCAGCATTTCCTTGAGTGGTGTGGGTCATACACAAAAGAAAACATGGATTCGGGGATGGGGACTTGCTGAGTAGAAAGGGTTGCAGTGGAGAGGGGAGTGGGTGAGGAGAAAATGGGGGTGGCGTGAGAACCTCTAAAATTCGTTGTATGAGACCATCAGACGGGTGGGAAGCAAGTCAGAATGGATGGGTACCACACAGCGCGCCCCCGTGTCTGCGCTCTGGCACCCAGTTCACGAGCTTCGGGCAAGGGGGCTGGAGGTTAAAATACACAGACACACACAGACAGACAGTGACACGGGTCATCCTTGAATTCCCCCCTTTATTGTGTTCAGGGGCAGATTATATAGAGATAGCCACGCCCCAGCCAAACCCACCAGAAACCACTCCCCTGCCATCAGAACTCCTGAAGGACTCGTGCTCAGAGCAGCTGTAGGCACTCAGATCAGGGGAAAACAAGAAATTCAGGATTTGGGGCCTCACTGCTCCCAACAGATGGGAGACCTACAAGAGCCATAGCTGAGAGTGGGTCGAAGAAGCAGGGCCACAGTGCAGTTCTGGGTTAGCTGTGGCTCCCAGGACACAACGGCAGAAGCCACTAATTAGAAGATTTGTTTCATTTACTTTTCTAATCACAATAAGAAAATAAGTCTCCCAAGCTGGGTTTTTTTTTTTTTTTTTTTTTTTTTTTTTTTTTTTTTTTTTTTTTGTAGTTCTGTTCCTGAGGATGCAAGGAGTACTGTTTGGTGGGAAGAATAAGTGGCTAGGAGCCACTTGAAAGTAGATTTCCTGTTTCCCAAGGATTCTTGTACTGTGTTTACTTTTTTTTTGTTTATGTTAAAGATGATCAGAAGTAAAAGATAAGAAATAAAACCTCATGCTAGGTTTGTGTCAATGAGGTGAATGACTGGAGACCTGGTAGCGTTTGTCTCTGGCTGGCTCCCCGTCAGACACATCGCTGTCGGGAACTCGGAAGATACCCCCAGGAACTCTGCACTGTGTTCTAGTTTGAGCATCTTGTTAGGATGCTAGGCAATATTTTATATTATTTAATATTCTATAATTAATGTTACCTATTTTTTAAAAGTTACACTGTGACAATGAGAATACTACTAGTAAGAGAAAATCAGAAATGAATTTCATAGAAAAGAAAATTTTATTTATTTGTTTATTTATTGGTTTTTAAAGACAGGAGTCTCTGTGTAGCCCTGGCTGTCCTAGAACTCACTCTGTAGACCAGGGTGGCCTCGAACTTACAGAGATCCACCTGCCTCTGCCTCCCGAGTGCTGGGATTAAAGGCGTGCGCCACTACTGCCAAACTTGAATTTTATTGTTTCCTGAGCAGAACATATTAAAGCCTATACAGTATTGGTGTAAAGAAAGTTGTTTGCAGTTATATCCTCCTATTGTATGGACAGACTCTGGAAGGGGCTCTGCCATGCATATCCTGGGTGTCAAACTTCCTTGTCAGGCTTGGTGGCGAGTACCTTTACACTCAGCCACCTCACTGGCCCATGGAAGTGTTTCTGAAGTTGATGTTATCACAGTGTTTGCCATTTTCGTAATGGCCTTTCTAGTGTGTGACAGGTGTGGGCAAATCTCTTGAGAGTCTGTCTTCACTGCCTGGGGTTTGAGCTCTAAAGACATCTCATGTATCCTAAGATGCAAATCTGGTTGCTTCAAGTTCTGGAGGTCTGTGGGTGTTGTCTGCACTTGATTCTGAGTTATGGCCCCTTGAAAATTCTTTGTCCCTCTTCACCCTTGCTTAGGCTCCTGCTCCAAAGAGCACTCTTACTCCCGCCGGCCCCATCACCAAGTCGACAGGCTCTCGGTTCCGGAACAGTGTGGAAGGACTGAACCAGGAGATCGAGATCATAATTAAGGAAACCGGGGAGAAGGAAGAGCAGCTTGTCGTAAGTAGTCTTCATCCTCAGAGGGGCTGTGAGCACCAGAGCACTGAGACAGGCACCATTTTTGCTACACTTTTATGGAGGGTGGGCAAACTGTTTGTAAGATGCCTTTCTGCTCCCTGATTGTCGTGACTCTCTGGTTTGATTGCTAGTCTGCATCTTCATGAAGTGCACTTAGAAATAATCTACTTGGCCATTTCACACAGAAAGATTGATATTTAAACTTAAAAAAAAAAAAAGTGTTAGAATGTATTTATCCCAGCATCTGTTCTTTAGTGAGGAGGGAATTAGTTTGAAGAAATACTTCCCTGTTGCAGAAAACTATTTTAACTGTGTAAAGATATATTATATTCTTTTATGTTGCATTTGTCTGACTCGGTGAAGCTGTGTTACTTTGCCTATCTAAAGCACCTGATTGGTCTAATAAAGAGCTGAACGGCCAATAGCTAGACAGGAGAAAGGATAGGCGGGGCTGCCAGGCAAGGAGAATAGATGGGAGGAAGGCGAATAGAGTGTAGAGCCAGAAGAGGGGATGAGAGTGCTCCAGGTGCCAGCCACCCAGCAAAAGTGGAGTAAGAAGAAAAGATAATAAAGAAAGGTAAAAGCCCAGAGGCAAAATGTAGTTGAAGAGAAAAGGGATCATTTAAGTTAGAAAAGCTGTCTAGAAACAAGCCAAGCTAAGGTCAGGCATCCATAAGCGAGAATAAGTCTGTTTGTATTTATTTGGGACCTGGCTGGTGGGCCCCCAATGAGCATATAAAATTCTCTCCTTGAAGGTGAAGACAGCTGGGTGTGGGTCCCCTGTAGTCCCAGGTACAAGGTCTCCAGCTGGCTTATATAACTGAAATCATATCTCAGACAAACAGAAAGGTAAAAGCTTGAGGTTTGAAAACACTCGACTCTGCCATCGCTGTCCTCCATTCTGTGGGATGGAGCATGCCTCTCCTCACTAACTCTCCCTCTCACCTAGAGAGAGCCGCTGTGATTAACCCTTCACTCACGAGGAAGGCGGCTTTGGGGGGAATTGGCCAAGGGCCCAGCTAGCGTGGCTGATTCTCACTTTCACCTTTCCCTCTACTGGGAACCTTGTGGCACACCTTATTCCTCCTTTTCTGTGATAGATTTTTATAGTAGTTTTAGAAGTAACAGTGCATGATACCATTTAGGGCAGCAGACGTTGCCCTCTTGTGTGCCATGACCTCAGAAGACAAATATGTCACAGTCGGATGGCCATGGAAGCCACTGATGAGAAAGGGAAAAGCCCAGTAATAGAAGGGTGGATGCTTGCTTGCTTGTTTTTGAAATGTTGTTTTGCTATGTAGCCCCGCTATCCTGAGAATCAGAACCCTCCTGTTTCACCCTCCCAAGTGCTGGGCACATTTGTGGCTTAGAATTTGATTGTTGAGTTTCTGACCACAGAGGAATGTGACATTGGGTACATTGCTGGTCAATTTCAAAAACATGTATTTTTAAATGTCTTAACAGCCCCAAGACATCCCCGACGGTCACCGAGCTCCTCCGCCCCTCGCCCAGAGGAGCAGCAGCACTCGCAGTATTGACACCCAGACCCCGGGGGGTGCAGACAAGGGGAGCAACAACAGCAGCCGCTCGCAGTCTGTGTCCCCCACATCCTTCCTTACCATCTCTAATGAGGGCAGCGAGGAGAGCCCCTGCTCCGCTGATGACCTGCTTGCTGATCCCAGGGATAAAGGTATGATGGGGTGACAACAGGGTACCTCCTGTCTGAGCCTACGCTCTGGTCCTTCTCTGCGGGACACATGCGTCACTGTCTGTGGGATACACGTGTCACTGTCTGTGGGACACACATGTCATTCTCTGTGGGACACACGTCAGGAATTGGGGTCAGCAGGAGCTCAGAACAATTGGAGCACATCTACCTTCGCTGAGGTGCTCGGATGGTGGTCTAGTTAGACTTTGGTTTGTATCTTTATTTTGCAGCATTTATGGTGAATATGGCTTCCTTCTTACTGTGTAGCCTAGTGATTCTCAACCTTCCTAACACTGCGACCCTTTGATACAGTTCCTCGTGCTGTGATAACTCCCAGCCATAAAACTGTTTTCCTTGCTTCTTTATAACTGTAATTTTGCTGCTGTTAGGAATCATAATGGAAATATTTTTGGAGCTAGAGGTTCATTAGGGGTTGTGACCCACAGGTTGAGAACTGCTGGACTAGAGGATTATTTTCCTGGAAAGAACTTTGTTCTTGATCACTTGACTCATTGGAATTTTATTACCTTAATATTTTTTAATTAAATGTGAAGCCTTCAATTTAGTGCTTTTTAGGATACTTCTAGCAAGGATTAACTTGCTTTATCTCAAAACAAAATGAATGTTTAAAGCAAACTGTCAGTCAAGGCTGGAAAGGTGGTCCAGTGGTTCAGAGCCTTGCGTGCAGAGGACCACAGTTCAGTTCCCAGCACCTACATCATCTCTAATAACTCCAGTGGCAGGGGATGTAGGTGCACAGGCAAGCAATTGGGCAACCCATACATGTGAGAATTTTTAAAAAATTTTTAAAGTAAGAGGTACTAATACATAAAAATAACCTAAAACCAGAAGCAATTTGAATATTAAGTACAAAATCTTACCTTTTAAAAGAAACATGAGCCAGGTGGTTGGGGCTCATGCCTTTAATCCCAGCACTTGAGAGGTAGAGGTGGGTGGATCTCCAACTTCTAGGACTGCCCAGGTTACACAGAGAAATTGGGTCTCGAAATAAATAAATAAATAGAAAACAAAAAAGAAGAAAAAAAATGACTATTTTTGATCTGCCTGTATCAGAGAAGTACATTGTGCTATCGTAATCCTAGTTCTTCTGAGTACTTAAAACCATTGTTGTGACAGTTAATTTTGATGGATTTGAGTCCTAGGCCAGCCAGGGCTTCATAGTTAGATCCTTTAAGGTGGTGCTAAGTTGTGGAAGGCGGTTGACTCCCTCTGGCCTCCACATGCACCACGGACACACAGTTTAAGATAAAATCAAATTGGGGGGGGGGGGGGTGGTGAGATGGCTCAGCGGTTAAGAGCCCTGACGTGCTCCTCTAGAGGACCCAGGTTCCATTCCCAGCAAACCACAGGGTGGCTCACAACCATCTGTCTGGTGCCCTCTTCTGGCTCGCAGGCATACATACAGGCAGAACTCTGTATACATAATTTTAAAAAGGCTCAGTCGATAATGCACCTAGTATGCGAACAGGAAAACCCAGTTTGGATCCAGAGCGCCATGTAAAGGCTGCACCTCTGTTAATATGAACATTCACTTCCCACACACGTGTGCAAGGATCAGCCTTGCTGAATTTCTTCTGTTGAAGATGATGTAAAGCATCTCCTGCATTTTTGAGAGTTGATTGTTACTCTGAGTATATAATTGTCAATGCTTTGCATAAGTGCATAGTATACAGTAGTAAAAGTGTGTGTGTGTGGCCATTTCAGAAATAGTTGAAGTTGGAGCTGGAGAGATGGCTCAGTGGTTAAGAGCACTTGGCTGTTCTTCTAGAGGACCTGGGTTCAATTCCCAGCATCCACATGGCAGCTCACAGTTGCCTGCAGCTCTACTTCAGAGGATCTAATACCTTCACACTAGTGCACATAAAATAAAGTTAAATAAAATTTTTTAAAAAGAAAGAAATAGTTGAAGTTTTGTCCTAATCTCCAACCAGTGTCATTTTTTAAAGTGAAACTGAATTCAGAGACACAAACATCACTTTTCAAAATCACTTAAACACAGTACTTAAAAGGGGTACTCTTGAATACCGCGTCTTGAGGAATTGTAAAAATTGGTTGTAAACATCTTTTCCACAGTAAAAACACTGGTTCATACCTGAGCTTAGAGTCATGACTCTAAGCTGGAGGGTTCATGTGGTCTGATGGCGTGTGCAATTGTAATGCATTGTAATGCAGAGTGCATGTGTGGTCTGATGGCGTGTGCAATGTGGAGTGTACGTGTGGTCTGATGGCGTGTGCAGTGCGGAGTGTGCGTGTGGTCTGATGGCGTGTGCAATGCGGGGTGTGCATGCGTGTGGTCTGATGGCATGTGCAGTGCGGAGTGTGCATGTGGTCTGATGGCGTTGCAATGCGGAGTGCCTGCTGTGTTCTAAGCCCAGGCCGCTGTGCTACAGGGTCAGGGACTGGGATTCCATATGTGTTTAATGTTTTGGGTTCTGCACTAAGAAACCTTTTATTCTTGCCAGCGTTTCTGTAACCCCACATTGAATTATGGGGCACCCTATGGGATCACAACCCATAGCTTCATCAGTTGAGTTGTAAAACAGGCTATGATCGCAAACGCCTACAATCTCAGCACTTGGGAGGTGGAAGATAAGGGCTGTTTTAGGTCATCTTTCGCTATATGGTGAGTTCAAGGCCAGTCTGGAAGTATTTGTCAAGAAAAAAAGCAGGCTGGATTTTAAACCACATTTGTAGACTGTTGGTAATTAAGACTTCGAAAAAAATTTGTTAAACTGGATGGTGGTGGTGGTGGTGCATGCCTTTGATCCCAGCACTCAGGAGGCAGAGGCAGGAGGATCTCTGAGTCTGAGGCCAGCCAGGGCTACACAGAGAAACCCTGTCTCAAAAAAATCTAAAAAAATTAAAAATGTTGATTCTATGTTGGATCGATAATATCTGTTAAAATCTGCCCCTTAAACCCATCCTTTCTTCTTTAGCTGTCCTAGGAATAATTGTGTTTCCTGGTACCTTTGTTTTTTAGAGAAGAGTGACTGATGGCACCTGCGAATTTCTTTTATTAAAAAATATGGTCCCAGCATTATTTCCAGTCAAATTTATAGTTTAGATGACAGGTTGAAATTTAGAATACTTATATAACATACCAAGAAATTTAAATGACTGTGGTATGAATTGAGGACATGAGCACTGAGCACAAGTGTGAACTGGGAGTGAGTTCAGAAAATGAGTAGGATTTACCTCTTGTAGATGATGGCAGGTGTGGGCAGAAGGAAGTGTCTGGTGGACTCAGAGACCTACCAGAGGAAGAGCAAGGTGAGGCTGGGAAGTTGGCAGGGCAGGCCAAGAGTTAATAGCAGGCAGCCATTGAAGAGTCTTTTCAAATACATGTGCTAGGAAAAGTAGATACTGCTTGAGTGTATTCAGAGAGTACATGGCATATAAATAAGGCAGCCGGATGTGTGTGCAGTCCAAGGTGAGTGATGAGGCCTAGTCAGGAGTGCAGTAGACGCTAGGGTGGAGTTAGTGGAGAAAGCACTCTCCCTCCCTGCCTTCAGACAGTTCCTGTGCACAAGTCCAGGATTATTACTTACGGTATCAGGATGCATTTTATAACGGTGTCTTTAATAACTCAATGTCATTTTTTTTTTTTACAGAGAATGGAAACAACTCTCCTTTGCCAAAATATGCAACCTCACCAAAACCTAATAACAGTTACATGTTCAAAAGGGAACCTCCAGAGGGCTGTGAAAGGGTCAAAGTCTTTGAGGAGTGCTCGTAAGTACCCCACATAAACACACACACTCGTAAGTTAGAGTTTTCAAACAGGTTGAAAGAGTAGTGTAGCAGTCACAGGTCTGCCACAGATTACATAATTGTTAGCATTCTGAAATGTTTGCTGAAAATAGCCCCGGAATTCCAGTAACGTGTGTACTAGCATTCTAAAGAACGATACTTAATATCTGCCAGCATCCGGTTATTTCAGTTCTGTGCGTGCGTGCGTGCGTGCGTGCGTGCGTGCGTGCGTGCGTGTGTGTGTGTGTGTGTGTGTGTGTGTGCGCGCGCGCGCGCGCCTTGAGTGAGAGCTCTCTCCTAGCAGGGGGTCCTGAGGCTTGAGCTCAGGTTGTCAGGCATGGGTGAGCCAGCTCCCCTGACTCTCTAGAGTCCTTTCTGTGACTTTCTGCATCTCAACTCAATCACCTTCATCCATCTTGTCAGCTGAGAACAGTATTGTTGTATTGTTATCAACTTAACTTTTGCAATTTTTAAATTTTTATGGAATATCATCAAGACCAAAAATATTTGTGGGTGGGGGAATAATTTTTGGAAGACCTGGCAACAAGGAAGATTTTGCTTCAATTATAACTTTAAAGACGAACTGCAAAGATGGTTCAGAGGTTAAGAGCACTGGCTGCTCTTCCAGAGGTTCTGGTTTCAATTCCCAGCACCCTCTTGGTGGCTCATAACCATCCATAATGAGATCTGGTGCCCTCTTCTGGTGTGCAAGCAAACTTGCAAGCAGAACACTGTGTACATAATAACTCTTTTGTTGTTGTTGTTGTTTTTATAGCTTTGTTTTTAAACATTTATTTATTATGTATACAATACTCTGTCTGTGTGCATGCCTGAAGGCCAGAAGAGGGCGCCAGACCTCTTTACAGATGGTTGTGAGCCACCATGTGGTTGCTGGGAATTGAACTCAGGACCTTTGGAAGAGCAGGCAATGCTCTTAACCTCTGAGCCATCTCTCCAGCTCCCTTGTTGTTTTTTGAGTCAGGGTTTCTCAGTGTAGCCTTGGCTGTCCTGGAACTCACAGAGATCCACCTGCCTCTGCCTCCCTAGTGCTGGGATTAAAGGCACAAGTCACTACGGCGCAGCCATAATAGATCTTGAAAAAGAGAGCACTGACTGACTGCTCTTCCAAATGACCTGGTTCCATTCCCACCACCCATGTGGCAACTCACAACTGTCTATAATTCCAGAGGACCCGACACCCATGGCAAAACACACTTAAAAAACAAACAGGGCTGGAGAGATGGCTCAGAGGGTAAGAGCACTGACTGTTCTTCCAGAGGTCCTGAGTTCAATTCCCAGCAACCACATGGTGGCTCACAGCCATCTGTAATGAGATCTGGTGCCCTCTTCTGGCTTGCAAACAGACAGACAGAACACTGTATACAAAAATAAATAAATAATTCTTTAAAAAAAAAACTTTAAAGACTGAGATATAGCTAACAGGTTAAGCTCCTGGGTGGTTCCATCCCCAACATCACACAAAAAAAAACTGAAGCAAGCTTTCTGTTGTTTTGATTTCACGTTTACCTTCTTTTTATCTAAAAATCTTAATAGTTGGTTCAGAAGAATACCTTTTAAATTTTTAATTATACTTGAAAAAACTGGTGTGGAAGTGCAAGCGTTAAGCCTAGCACTGTAGAGGCAGAAACAAAAACCCAGAACAAGCAAGCAAGAAAGAACACTTGGAAACCGCTGCTCATCAAGGTGTAGCCCTGTAGGGGTGTTAGACTCTTCGTGTAGTCAGTGTCTTTGGTGTGTCTCTTCAGAGTCTTGGAACAATCATGTTGGAAAACATATTTGTCTCCTAGCATGTGGGCTTTCTTTTGCTTAAGGAAATGCTTATCTTACTGACCTGTTTTTAAAAAATGTGTCTGTGTCTTAAAAATGATATTTCCAGTATTCAGTGACTTAACAGGATTGGTTGTCTGTTTGTATCCAGGCCAAAACAACTTCATGAAATTCCAGCCTTTTACTGTCCTGACAAAAACAAGGTGAATTTCATTCCTAAGAGTGGCTCTGCTTTCTGCCTGGTGAGCATCCTCAAGCCGCTTCTTCCCACTCCAGATCTTACCCTCAAGGGCTCTGGCCACAGCCTGACAGTCACCACCGGCATGACGACCACTCTGCTTCAGCCCATCTCCATGGCCTCCCTGTCAGCAAATACAGAGCAGGACAGGGTGTCTCGAGGAACCAGTACATTCCTGCCCTCGGCCTCCCTCCATGCACCCCCAGAACCCATTGAAGAAGCCGAAGGATAGGTTCTGGGAACTGAGACCCCGCGGATCACGTGACTGTGATGGTGTTGTGTCCTCCCGGTTGGCTGTGAAGTGCTTTGCCTTTCCAGTGATGTGTGACCACGAGGCCACTGGAGAACTCGTCCCCTGTGAGTGCTCTGCCCCACGCATGAAGGCCGCCGACAGTACTTGCCTCTGTTCTGGAAGCACTGGCTGAAACATGGAAGGAACAGATCACATTTTCATTTGTTTTCAAATTAGACTTGTTTAAAAACAAAACAGACATAAAACCTAATCCCTGCAAACACGGTTTCTGAAGGGAGATGTGGTTGATGCTGCAAGAAAACCATCTTTTATATGAAAATGACTATTTTATAATACCAGTGTCAGTGTCTGAGCATCAAACAGGATGTTCAAAGGATTCTTTGGTGGCCTCTGTTTCTTCTTTCCCTTTTCTAGATGTTGCTTTTCTCGGCTGTTTTCAGCGTTGGGACCAAAGGGATTGTTGACGTTTCCCCAGCAATGTCAATCTCTTGACTGTGTTCTTCCAAATAAGAATCGATAGGTAAATGCATTGAACCAAGTATATATAAAAAGATAAAAAGCAATATTCGTACATTATGTGATTTATGTTTTTTGATGTCAGAAGTTTGTGCTTTGGGTGAAGTATTTGTGAAACTGCTGTTTTCTGCACTGTCCTGCTCACATCCCCGTGTGTGGTCAGCGAAGTGAGTCTGAAGACAGATGCTTTAACATGAGTCAGTGAGCCAAAAGAAACTGAAGTGTGGATCGTTAGCTAGGAGTGTGGCGCTCTCTGGTCTTCTGTGAACTGTGTGTCACGTGGTTCCCTCCTTTGCCGGGTGTCACTACCTTGAATCATCCCTGTATCATAGCCCCAAGAGACCCTGAAATGGCTGTGCATGGATTTCCTCCTCTGCTTTCGTGGTGGTGTTGTCTTGTGGATTTGGTCAGGGTTAGTAGTTTGCCGGGAGTAATCCATTGAGTAGCATTGGTAGCCGAAGAATCCTGAGGACTGACTTTTTCTCTATGGTGGTTGGCACTGAGATTTGTTTGCCTACACATTTTGCCAGTCTCTTCTCCGACATTCTACACACCGGAGGAATAGACAAGAGGTTTAGCGCTTAAACAGCGGGTACCTTTGGGAAATTTTACACAGTTTGGATTTAGGCTCCTCTAATAACCATTGCCAGTGTCCTATGACAGTATTTAATTTCTGGGGTGTGGTAATAAAATGAAGGAGTCGCTCTTTGGAAGTGAATCCTGTCAGTGTTGGTGAGGCACGGTTTGAACACCGTCACACACTACAAAGTTTTAAAGCCTGCAAGAGTGGACTGCCACGTGGAAGGCTAATTCCACACACCGGTCCAGAGTTTCCAGAAAGACCTCGAGGTACTAGCTGTGCATTTCCTGCCTCAGAACGCCTGGCACTTTGACTAGTCTCTCCTTAATTTTAAATGAGGACATTTTAGGTTAATCAGATAACCTTGAGCATCTATGTGAGTCCATCAATTTTTGGTTACGAAGACTGATAAATTTTGTTACTTTTGCCACCCAAAACTTAACTTTCTGGGCATAGCAAATCGTAGTTTCTAAGTCAGAACCTCAGTTGTTTGGGGTGTAGACTTTTCGGTTGGTTGGGTTTTGTTTGTTTTGTCATGCCTGTTGACTTTACTATTTTATCAGTATCAGAAGTACAGAAGAAAGGCTCATGGCAGTCAGTTGAGTTGATCTGAAGGGAGAATGAGGTGTTTAAAAGCAAGAGCTTTGTTTGTTTTATGTAGCCCTAGCTAGTCTGGAACTTGCTACGTGGACCAGGTTGACCACCAACCTCTCTGCCTCCCGAGTGCTGGGATTCGAGGTGTGTGCCACCACGCCCTGCTTGTCATCTTTCTGATGACACTTGAATTCTATTACATTGTTTTATTATTTTGTTGTTGTGCACCACCACTGTCTCGGTTTTCAGAGTGTTAGTGTGTAATCGATTTCTCCCTCTGTGCCGTGCTTGTTGGGCAGGCGAGCCCTGCGGTCATGCGTGCCCTCACGGAACACAGTGGGCACAAGTCTCGGGTCAGTCTGCTCTTGGAACTCTGAAGTTTGGCTGGAAGAATATTGTGAATTTACAAGTAAATGAATTGTACGGCAACCAAACACTTTGAGTTTTAGAGAAATAGAACCTGAGACCTGAAGAAAAAGAAAGGTCTAGGTCCCCCAAAAAACTCTGAACTGCCAGGGCCAAAGGGCTAATTTTTAAGCATATGAGCTTTATTGAAGTCTTAAAATATGTTAACCGTAGGTCCACCTAGCTATTTTATTTAATTCTTAATTTCCAGGTGGTTGGTCTTAAAAATGGGTCTACTCTCCATAGAGGGGGTGTGATTCTGTTCACAGACCCTACTCCATCATGAGGGTTATTCTGTAGAAACTGTACAGCCGTAGAGTAGCGTCAGTGGAAATACAGTTTTTTCCAGTGCTGGGGATTAAACCCAGGGCCTCGTGCATGCCAAGCAAATGCCGTCACTGGCTTATGTCCCCAGTCCCTAATTTAAATTTTTTACTAAAGTTTACTTCCATTGCAGTAAAAGTGGGTGGCATGTATTCTCCCCCCTTTGGCCAAAGGAGCTGTTCCCTAGTTATTTGTCTGTCTGTCTACCCACCCTCAAGCAGTTTCTGCCCTGCCATGATAACACAGGTTTACTGCCTCTGAGGTAGTAAGTCCGTTACTTACCATTGCTTTATGGGCAGTCGTGTTTATAGAAATAATATTTCTGCTTTCTTGGGTTAAATATGACGTGAATGTCAAAATTCTTCCTAGACCAGATTCTTCCTTTCGTTTACTGTGTTTCTTAGACCCTAGGACCATAGCCAGACCTGCCTCTGAGAAGACGCTGTTGCTCACTGGGGTGAATCTGGCAACAGGGAAAGGCTGCTTGTCTTATTTTTTATTGTTTATGTTTTGATTAAAGAAACAGTTGGCTTTTCCTAAAAGTTGTTCTAAAAGAAAATGGCAGAATGTATAGCTGTCTCTGGGATTAGAACTGAGGCGCTAAGGTTTTCCTTCAAGGAAACTAAATTCAAATTGTCATTACTAAATTTGTAAAGTTGAGATTCATTCCTTAATGTTGGGTGTGGGGCGTGTCAAAACTGGACCAATGGAAGTGCTGAATTTGTGAAACAAAGCCAAGATACGTAACTGCACTTTAAGGTTTCTGGGTAACTCTGCCTTCATTCGCGACCCGCAGAGCGGCTCTGAACAGTATTTTGTTTATACAGTCCTGTTGGAGATATATAATTTATGTTTTTTAAACTCTGCATCTTTGTCTCTGTTGATGTAAATCTTTTTTAATGCAATTTTTTAAAGTTATAACAAAATTCTCCCCCGAAAACAGCATTTCCAGCTATAATAAGTATTGTTGTGGACTGTGTCCCTGCAGCTGAGCACTTCCTGCTGCCTCACAGGGGATAGAACTCCTCCTATGTCCAAATAAAGTCTGTTGTTCTTGAGTTCCCGTGTGTTTTTATGAATATTGCCACAAACTCACATTTCTTTCATTCATTCATTCATTCATTCATTCATTCATTCATTCATTCATTTCAGTCATTTTTGTGACATGTATTCTAATAGTTCTTACTAAGAACCCAGAGTCAGATATCAGGGGGTGAAAGCTGAGAGATCAGAGAAGCAGAGCGGCCAGCCACTAGAGAGACCTTTTACTCCCTCAGACAAAAAGGGGAGGGGGTGATCCTGTCTCTACCTCCCTAGTGCTGGGATCACCTTTGTGTGAGCTCTGTTTCTCTGTTAGACAGATCCCTCTGCCTCCTGAGTCTTGGGATTAAAGGTGTGAGCCACCACTCCTTCATGGCTTAGCTCTGCACTCTGATCTACAGGCAAGTTTTGTTAAACAGTATCACACGTTTTTAGCATTTCTAGCCTGATGGAGCATTTGTGTAGTGTGTTCTCGTCCACAGGTTGGCCTCTCCTCCTGGCTCTAGAAGTGAATGTAACCTATCCTCGTGGTAAGTACAAAGCAGACGTGGCCACACACAAGCACACAGACTTGGATTCAGTCACAAGCAACCCACTAATTCCATGTTTGCTGCAGCGCATTTAGCTAGGGAAATCAGTCTGTAGTACATGGAGAAGGCCTTTTCTTTTAATTACTGCAAGATTCTTTGATCTCAGCGGTGTTGAGTCTGTGTCTACGGAGTAGAGCTGGCCAGGTTCGACCAGTGAAGGAGGAGGCGTGTTTATAAGTGAAAGATTTGTTAAAATTAGTAAAGTACATATTTCTGAGCCAGGAATGCTGAGGTAGGAGGCTTACAAGTTCAAGGCCAGCCTCTGCTGTGTTGTGAGATTGTTTCAAAAGAGAAGCCTGGTTGTTAGGAGCACTGGCTGCTCTTCCAGAGGGCCTGGGCTGGTTTCCCAGCCCCACATCGTGCAGCTTCCAACCATACTAAAACTTTGTAAACCTACTAAAGACCTCTTACTAAATTCCAGCACTTGGGAGGCAGAGGCAGGTGGATCCCTTGAGTTCGAGGTCAGTGTGGTCTACAGATGGGAGTTCCAGGACAGCCAGGGCTACACAGAGAAACCCTGTCTTGAGGCACAACAAAAAGGTAAGTACAAAATAAACACACATCCACATATACTACCTCTTAACTGTAACTCACCCCACCCCTACCCCTGCTTCTTTGAGACCGCACTTACTCCTAAATTGCCCAAGCTAGCCTCAGACTCATTATGCAGATTAGGCTGACCTCAAACTCATGATTCTCCTGCCTTAGCTTCCTGTATGTTTGGGATTACAGATGTGTGCGGCTACGCCCATGTTAAAATACCGTTTAATTTTCTAATGTGGTGTCATACCATTGGGCCAACTGGTAGCCTTTTTATCTCATTGGTTCGGTGTTTTTAAACAATGGTCTAGACTTGAATTAAATAATTCAGCCCAGCAGAATAGAAAAGTTTTCTCCAGTGTAGACAGTTGAGCTCTGGCTGTGTGGGTGCTAGGGGAGCTGTCTACCACCTCATAAAATTGTTAGACCTCATAAAACTGTTAGACCTCATAAAACTGTTAAGATACACAGCAAGGTATAATGCAGAACTGTTTCTTACTGTAGAGTACGATAGAAACAAAGCAAAAATTACTGCATTAGATGCAACTTCTGTGTGTGTTTTGGGGGTTGCTAATGATAACTGAAAGCATTTAATGGGGGGCTTAGAATGTTGGATAGGAACAGACAGATGAGCGCTTCACGTCCTGATCTGCTGGCTAAACCCACCACAGTGACACACCTCTGACAAGGTCACACCTCCCGATCTTTCCCAGACTGTGCTACTGCCTGGTGATTAAGCATTTTCATTCAAATCACACAGTTGGTTTGATTTTAGTCCTTTTGAAACACATAGGATTGGAGAGAAGGCTCAGTGGTTGAGAGCACTGGCTGTTCTTCTGAGGTCCTGAGTTCAATTCCTAGCACCACATGGTGGCTCACAGTCTCTATGATGAGATCTGGCGTCCTCGTCAGGCCTGCAGGCATACACATAGACAAAACACTGTACATAATAAATCTTAAAAGAAAACACATAGTAAAAAGATTTGTCGTAGCCAGGTGGCGGTGGCACACGCCTTAAATCCCAGCACTCAGGAGGCAGAGTGGATCTCTGTGAGTTCGAGGTTAGCCTAGTCTTCAGAGTGAATTCCCGGTCAGGCTCCAAAACTACAGAGAAACCATCTTGAAAAACAAACATTTGTCATGAATGTTCTGATGAGTAAAAACGAGTGTTTGTCTCCACCTGCCTGGGACAGCCTTGCTGGAGGGGCCTCAGGTGGTCTGGGGGGTTAGCTCTGCCTCTGCTGCCTAGTGGCCATGGGACTTGGAGCCTGAAGTCACCGTTCTGAACTTAAGGAGCTGCTGTCCCTTGAGTAGGTTATTAAGAGACTTTTTATTTGTATTTTATTTTTTTCCTTTTTTTTTTTTTTGTTATTTTTATTTTTATTATGTTTGGGGGGGCGGGGGGGCTGGAGAGATGGCTCAGAGGTTAAGAGCACTGACTGCTCTTCCAGAGGTTCTGAGTTCAATTCCCAACAACCACATGGTGGCTCACAGCCATCTGCAGTGAGATCTGGTGCCCTCTTCTGGCCTGCAGGCATACATGCAGACAGAACACTGTATACATAATAAATAAATAATCTTTTAAAAAAAGGATGAGGGGTCGGTGATGGAAATGGTCTCAAATTCACTGTAGTGTTTAAGGTATAATCTAGTCAAAAGATGCAGCCCAGACCGGTTGTCAGACCGGTCTTTGTGGTCTCCCCAAGAAGCAAGGGACTGATGCGCAGATAACAAAATTGGAATTAAGTAGCCAACCGAGGTCATGTCTGGGAAATGTCAGTCTCTAGGATTTTCTCTAGAACATGCAGCTGTGTGGCACTCACCTGTACCGGCAATACTGTCTGTGGTTGCCAGTCACAGCCTTGTCCTTGTGGGCTCCGCCAATTCAGCACACCAAAGGAAGGATGCCGCAGAGATACCAGGTTGTGACCTAAGAAGTTGGTAACACATGCACTTTGGTTTCTGATTTTGCTACATCTGCAAAAGTGAAAAATGTTTTTCTCTAATCTGGGGAACTTTCCTTTTAGAGAATCTGAAATTAGCTCCCGTCGTGTGTAATCTTGTTGTGATACTGCTGCTTGCTGACACTGTGCTGTGGAGGGGGCGCAGCCCCTGAGTGCTCTAGACAAGTAAGTACTCAACGATATCCCCCAGCACCCGTGAGACAGGCTGGTGGATCTCTTGTGAGTTCAAGGACAGTCAGGGCTATACAGAAATCCAATTAGAACAAACACTTCAAGAGCCTGACTAATGGCATCAAGCAGGTCTTTTTACTTTGAATTAAAAAAAAAAAAATTATTTTGTGTACAACATTCTGCCTGCAGGCCAGAAGAGGGCACCAGATCTCACTATAGGTGGTTGTGAGCCACCTTGAGGTTGCTGGGAATTGAACTCAGGTCCTGTGGAAAGAGCAGCCAGTGCTCTTAACCTCTGAGCCATCTCTCCAGCCCCGTTTTGACTTTGTGTTTACTCTTTGGCCAGTGAGTGAGTGGCGGTATGTGCTGACTGATTGCTCAGAGGCCCCATCCATGGTGCATGGAGTTTTCACTGCACTCTGTAGCCTTCGGAATGGTGCAGAGGCCACGGAGAGGTATAATCCACTTTAACCACCACTTTCTCCTCAGCCTGGGCATGGCACATTTAAACTCCTGTCTGAGATAGGTCTGAATGCATTATTTCTAGTACGACTGGACTAATGTTTTTAGTTTAATTTTCCCTCTAGTTTCTTTATCCCAAGAGTCAAGTCTATTTCAGTGCTCAAAATGTAGCCTTGCCACTTTGTCCTTTGTTATTTTTTATTGAAAAAAAAAAAAATATATATATATATACACACACACACACACACACACACACTAATTCCTTGGTCTTTTACTTGTTTTGATTTTCATTTTTGTGTTTTGGGAGGTTTTGTTGGTGTTGTTTGGTACAGGGTTTGTCTGCGTATCCCTGGCTGTCCTGGAACTCACTCTCTTACTATGTAGAGCAGGTTGGTCTTGAACTCACAGAGATCCGCCTGCCTCTGCCTCCCAAGTGCAGGGATTAAAGGTGGCGCCACCACTGCCCAGCTTGTGTTTGGGAATTTCTTTCTGTTCTTGTCTTCAACAGATCAGGCTAAATGCCATGGCATTTCATGGGTTATTATTTCTAGTTCTATTTCAGATTTTGATATTTGATTGAATTCATTATGTAAAACAGATCCTTCTTTTCTTGTACCTTGGATTGAGCTTTCTCTTTTCTTTTTAGACAGGGTTTATCTGTGTAGCCCTGGCTGTCCTGGAACTTACTTTGTAGATGGAGTTGGCCTCGAACTCAGAGATCCCCCTCCCACCTCTGCCTCCACACCCAGTTATTCGTTTATTTTTATTTTAAGGATTTATGTGTGAGAGACAGACATATGGCAGAAGGTTGAGACCAAAGGGCAGCATGGTGTGTCTACCTGTGTGGTTCTCCATCTTATTTCAAATTGTGTATATGTGCAGATGTTCATGGGTTCTGGAAGAGGGTGTCAGATCTCCTTGAAGCTATGAGCCAAAATGAAACAGAACTTAACATTGGACCGTTTCTCCAACACCTCTACCTTAATTTTTAAGATGGTGTCTCTCCCTGAGCCTAGAGCTCACTGGACTGGCTAGCCAGTGAGTCCCCAGGATTTGCCATCTCCACATCTAAATGCTAGGAGACAATGAACAACCATCACTTCACCCATGAGCCAGCTAGTCCTTGGGCCATCTGCAGCAGCATCTTGTGCTCTTTGACAGAGGGAGGTCCAGAAGTAAATCTCAGGTTTTTAAATAGGAAAATAGTGTGAACTTGGATTGAACAATTTAGAGAGCACACTGCTTTATGCCATCTGTAATCTGTATTAAAAGCAGCTCAGAAAGAGAGCACTTTAAACTGACTTGTCCTAATACTGTAAGCCTTGTGTATTTCTAGATCTATAAAATAGGGAATATGGCTGGGTGTGGTGGTGCACACTTTTAATCCCAGCGCTCAGGAGGCAGAGGCAGGTGGATCTCTGTGAGTTCAAGGCCAGCCAGGAGTGTTACCAGAGAAACCCTGTTTCAAAAAACAAAATGGGGGAGGATATGAAATAAATAGCCAGAGTGAGAAGAAATATTTCCTCTTGAAATGCAGTTTGTCTCTAGTGATAATAGCGCTATACTCTACAATTAAAAATCTCAAATACAAATTACACCAATCTGATTTTATGACTTGGCATTTGTGCATCTCCTGAGAATGCAAATGTGGCTGCACTGGGGCTTTTCTAACTTCCTATGACGTCTTATCAGCAATAAAATAAGGCAGAATATAGGCATTTCTTCCGTTCAATAAAAGATACCCACTTTGACAAAGATGTTCCCAGGTTTCCTTTGGTCAGGATAATTTGTGCCATCCCTGGCAGCTGCCTTCTTTTTTTTTTTTTAAACTTCCTTTTTATGAATGTTTTGTCTGTATATATACTTGCAGGCCAGAAGATAGAATGAAAATCCCACTATAGATGGTTGTGAGCCACCATGTGGTTGCTGGGAACTGAACCTGGAAGAGCAGCCAGAGCTCTTAACCACTGAGCCATCTCTCCAGCCCTTCCCTTCTTTTCTTATCATGTTGGTTCAATACAGCAAAATGTCTTTTTCTTTTTTAATAATTTATTTTTATCTCATGTGCATTGGTGTTTTGCCATGGGTGTCCAGTCCCCTGGACCTGGAGTTACAGATGGTTGTGAGCTGGTTGCTGGGAATTGAATTCAGGTCCTCTGGAAGAGCAGCCAGTGCTCTTAAACTGCTAACCCCTCTCTCCAGCCCTGCAAAAATGTCTTTTTCAACCACAAGATTGTTAATGATTGAGCCTCAAATTACTTAATCATGAGAAAATAGAATAACTTTCATTTAATAAGCAATCAAATGGAATTGTTTGAGTTGAAGTTATAACACAACTTAGTATTTTCAAAGTTATGTATTGTGTTACTTCTTGATCAAGCAGGAAATAAGTCATACACTGTACCTAAAGGGTGACCTAAAACTGAGCAGTGATAATTGTATGTGTATCGATTTGTGGTGACTTTGATCTGGGAAAATGGAAGGTATTGGCCCTTTATTTTCATAGTTGAGGGTCTAGGCTTTGTGTGGAGAGGGCATTGATCTTCTACTCACTGAGGTGTGATTTTACACCAGAGAACAGGCTGCTTCAGATGCCTGTGAGGAAGATATACTGTGAAGTAACGCACCGGGAAGAATACTTTTGCAAAGAAAAATAGCACAGACCCAAGATGTAGGATTTTGTTCCTTGAGGTCGAGGGAAAACCCCCAAATTAAAGGGTGAGCAGGAAAGGGCAGGGAGCATGAGCTACGCTTTCACCAGCTTGTCCAGCGGCCACTAACCAGCCTGCCCTCCAGAACCTAGATCCTAAACTCTGCAGTATCTTCTGCTTACTAATCATATGTCACCTCAGGAGTCAGGAAGAACACAGGCCGCTCCTCACTTTCTGTGGATGTTTCCACGTCTGTCAGAAAGCCCTCTGGATTAAACCGTGTGGAGAAACGAGAGAACACAAATACGTATCAAGACGCGGCGTTAGGAACTGCCCCTGTTGGTCATGCGGAAGTTCTGTAGCAGTCTGAAACTGTCGGGTCTGTCCAGGCTCCATGTCCACCCTGCTACTAATGGCGGCACGTGGTGTCTCCATGATCGCGTGTGAGCGAACGGAACATCGCATTTGTCTTCCAAATACAGAAAAGCAAGCACGAGTTTCTCTAATTTCAGTGAAGCGGACTGAATTCTCTTGCTCTACGTTGCAATCAGGGAAAAGGCTTTCTATTCTGTTGCTGTTCCCCCGAACAGAAAACACCTCCAGTATCAAAAAACTAACCCCAAATGACCGCCGCTTTATATCCTATTCTTAACCCGCTCACAGCAAACTGACTTGAATGTAAAACACTTCCCAAAGAAACACGCCATACTCCTGAGATTCAGACATAAGTTTGGTTTCTCAGTATTGCAAACTCGGGAGTTTCTAAAAATTTCCACAATCAACAGCTTTCACATCCAGCACAATAAATACACAGGCTTCTCAGACACCAGACCCTCAGTCCTGTCCTGAACACATGCGTCTGTGTGTGGTGGCAGGGAGACTCCTCTCCACAAAGGCCAGCGCTGCACAGTTGCCGCCTTGAGACCCCTGAACCTGGGGTCCCAGTCAGGCGTTGAGAAGTTCATCTTCTGAGTGTCCGATGGCGTCTGGGTTGGAGAGCGGATCCAAGTCTGCAAATAGATTGAACCAGGCTGACATGTCTTGGTTACCATTGTTGGGGGCTAGTAAAAAAGAGAGACATTGAAGAGATTCAGCTTTTGGCAATAATATTTTTGTACTACTTTAGTCATTTTTGAAGCAGATGCTCCTTAATAATGAAGTTGGCTGACATTGATTCACTGTGTCCCTTAACGACAAATTGAAAATGCAAACACAGGAAACGTGCTTAGCCTGAACTCATTGTGTCGGGGATGTTGACAAGGATTACGTGAGAAGCAGTCTCAGGTGATTTATAGAACGCTCTCAGGTAAGGTTGAAAGTTACAGTAACTTCCTCCCGAGAAAACTTGAACTCTGCTAAAATCCTCTTTATTGGGGCTGGAGAGATGGCTCAGTGGTTAAAAGCACTGGATGCTCTTCCTCCAGAGGAACCAGGTTCAATTCCAAGGACCCACATGGCAGCTCACAGCTGTCTGTAACTCCAGTTCTAGGTAATCTGACTTCCTCACACAGACATACGTGCAAGCAAAACACCAATGCACATAAAATAAAATATTCAGCCTTGCTGTGATGGGCGCAGGTCTTTAATCCCAGGAGGCAGAGGCAGGTAGATCTGAGTTCAAGGCCAGCTTGATCTACACAGCCAGTTCCAGGACAGCCAGGGCTATAAAGATAAACCTTGTCTCAAAAAAACATAATATTTGAAAAATGTTAGACATAAAGGGAAAAAATTCTAATTTTTATTTCTCTTTTGAGGCAGGCTCTTGCTGTGTAGCTCAGGCTGGCTGCAGATTTGTGATCCTCTAGATTACAGGTATGTTCCATCATGCCCAGTGCTTGTCAAAACATTTGCTAGCAAGGGCTGCGGAGATGGCTCAGCAGCTACATGCCAAGTTTGATCCCCAGGGCGCACATAGAAGGAGAGAAACACACGTTTTTCCCTCTCTAAAGGTAACTTTAAAAAGGTAAAACAAACAAACCAGTTGGGTGGTGGTAGCAGATGCCTTTAATCCTAGCACTCAGGAGGCAAAAGCAGATAGTTTGAGGCCAATCTGGTCTACAGAGTGAGTTCCAGGATAGGCTCCAAACCACAGAGAAACCAACCCTGTCTTAACCCCCACCCCCAAAAAAGTTAACACATTTTGATAAGAACATCATGTCTCAGATCCAAGTTGTTTTCTTGTATGTTTTTGCGTGTGGTAGTTTGAATGTAATTGGCCCCCATAATCTCATTGGAAGTAGCACTATTAGGAGGATGGCTTGGTTGAAGTGCTTATTGCCTTGGTATGACCTTGTTGGAGGAAGTATGTCACTGTGGCTGGGCTTTCTTGTGCTCAAGATACCACCTGCTATCCTCCAGCAAGTCAGCCTGCACACCACAACACTCCCTGCCGTGATAATGGACTGAACTCTGAAACTGTAAGTAAGCTCCCTCGATTAATTTTTTTTTTTTTTTTTTGAGTTGTCATGGTCATGGTGTCTCTTCACAGCAATGGAAACCCTAAGACAGCTTGGTTTTGGTTTTTTGAGACAGGGTTTCTCTGTGTAGACTTGGCTGTCCTGGAACTCTCTATAGACCTGGCTGGCCTTGAACTCACCAAGATCCATCTGCCTCTGTCTCCCGAGTACTGGGATTAAAGGTGTGCACCACCACTGCCCTGCGGTAGGTCATTTCCAAAGGCTACTAGTCCCTTGTCTTTGGGGTACTGTATTCAAACACCATGACCAAAAGCAGCTTGGGGAGGAAAGGGTTTGACTTCCTTGCCTCCTCTGTCCAACTGAAAGAAGTCAGGACAGAGGCTCAAACAGGGCAGGAACCTGGAGGCAGAGCTGATGCAGAGGCTGCTTACTGGCTTGTTTCCATGGCTTGTTCTGTCTGCTTTTTTATAGAGCCCAGTCCAGAGTCCATCAGTCCAGAGATGGAACTACCTACAACGGGCTGGGCCCTCCCCCATCAATTACTATTTAAGAAAATGCCCTATAGGCTTGTCTACTGCCTGCTCTTAGGGAGGAAGTTTCCCAATTGAGTCTCCCTTCTCTTTCATTCTGGCCCATCCAACACAGTGGCCTGGCTCATCCTGTTACAATCTTTGAGTACTGGCATCTGGGGATTAGAAGTATGTGTCTGGGTATACCATGTTTACATTGTTTCAGTTACATGTTAGACTGAGTCCGCCCTGCACTTGATGGATGAACACTGCTTCTCAGCTGTCCTGGATTTCAGTTTCAGCTTGCATTTAATGATTAATGAAGTGGCACACTTAATGAGTTAATTTTTTCCCCTTTTTAAAAAATATTATGTATACAATATTCTGTCTGTGTGCATGTCTACACACCAAGAGGGCACCAGACCTCATTACAGATGGTTGTGAGCCACCATGTGGTTACTGGGAATTGAACTCAGGACCTTTGGAAGAGCAGGCAATGCTCTTAACCACTGAGCCATCTCTCCAGCCCCCCTTTTCCCCCTTTTTTTGTTTGAGACAGGGTTTCTCTGGCAGTCCTAAAACTTGCTCTGTAGACCAGGCTAGATCCACCTGCCTCTGCCTCCCAAGTGCTGGGTTTAAAGGTGTGTGCCATCACTGCTTAGCATGAGTTAAATTTTTTATTTTTTTGAGACAGGGTTTCTCTGTAGCTTTGGAGCTTGTCCTGGAACTCGCTCTGTTGTAGACCAGGCTGGCCTCAAGCTCACAAAGATCTGCCTGTCTCTGCCTCCCAAGAGCTGGGATTATAAGCATGCGTCACCACCGCTCGGCTGTGTTAATTTCTAAGTTACAGATTTTCCAATATTACTTTTTACCCAGAGCTGACACCGTCTTTCCCTGCTCTTCCTTCCCTGACAAAGCAAAGCAGCCTCCGACATACAGGTAAACTGTGTCTTTCTCACGGCCTCTGCTTGTTTTTGTTTGAGACTGAGACTCACTATATGGCCTAGGCTGGTCTTGAAATCATAAAGATCCACGGGCCTCCACATCCCGAGGGCTGGATTAAAAGCCACTATGCCCGGTAGTGTCTTCACTTTTTGTGTTTGGTGAGCCATGACTGTCTGTCCTCTGCCATCTGCACTGGAGCAGGCTGAGGAACAGGTACAGCTCCTAGCACGTCAGGCCAGCACCACACACAACCAACCTATAGCTACAGAACCGGGGGCCACTGGGACTGCAACCTTTGCTCCCTTTTTGGTTCTTGGCTTCTGTGAGGTAAACAGGCCTCCTTCACCAAGTCCCGGCCATGATATACTACTTTGCCACACGTGCAGAAGCAGTGACCAACTGACCAGACTAAAGCTCCTAAACCATGAGCCACAGTACAGCGGAATGCTAGCGTACAGAGAGAGGATGCAGTGAGCAGGTTGTCTAGCATGTGAGGCCCTCGGTTCTACACCCAGCACCACAGAGGAGGAGGGAGGACGACCGGGAAGAAGGAAGCTGGGAGAAAAATATGATTCAATAGCAACTATAATAATAAACATTATGTAAAATTACTAATGATTGAGATTATAGCCCTTCACCTATAATCCTAGTTCTCAGGAGGTTGAGGCTGGAAAACCAAGAGTTCAAGGCCAGCCTGGCTACATAGTGAGGTCCCTGTCTGCCATTTAAATTATTTCAGTTCAGAGTTGGGCATTGGTGGCTCATGCCTTTAATCCCAGAACTTGGGAGGCAGAGGCAGGAGGATTTCTGTGAATTCAATGCCAGCCTGGACTACAGAGCGAGTTCCAGGACAGGCTCTTAAAGCTACAGAGAAACCCTGTTTTGAAAAAACAAAACAAGAAACTACAACAAAATTTCAGAACACACAAAATACAGAGCCAGGTGTGGTTTGCAGGGATTATGGCTGCAAGTGTGGCAACGTTCTGAAAAACCAAACACTACATAGGGATACTTTATTTTTTCGTTTTTCTATAATGCTAAATTTGTTGAAAAATTTTAAAGTTTTGTTGAAAAATTTTAAAGTATTGCTATCATAAGAATTTGGAAGTCTGCCCAACACTTGAGCACAAAATTATTAGGTGTAGTGATGATTGTAAACTAGAAAAAATAATTCAAATGGATAAGAGATTATGCATGGGAAGAGACAAGTCAGAGCAGTGTGGACCAATCATGTGTTCAGGAGGATACCACCTATCCTTATGCGGCAAATGCCAGGATGAATGACCTCTGAGGTCATCAGGCCAAATAATGTGACCTGTCACCAAATCCCAAAGCCTGTCCTAGTGACGAGAAGCATCTGAAGCAATGAGATCGGCTGATGGGGAAACTGGATGGCAGCCCATGTCGGTACACAGCGCTAATCCCACAGAATTGAGGTATCCGAGGTGCCTGGGTCATTCCTATCCAAGGCCTCTTCTGAGCTGGGGTCACTCAGTGATGGAGCACATGCCTACCATGGATGATGCCTGGCTTTTTTCTTCACACTATGAGGCAAAGTGGTCCTTTTCTAAATTCTCCTGAATTTTGCTATTCATGAATGGAAAGAAATGACTTACATTTTAATTTCTTTGGACGCTGTGAAGGCACCGGCAGGGTATCGGGGTGTTCTGATCCCTCTTGGGAGCCCCAGCCTTTGGGGGAAGGACAGACAGAGAAACAAGTGTCAACAGCGAGATCCTCCTGTCTGTGCTAGAGAAGCTCTTGATCGGCCAATCCCTCTCCTTAGTGTGTAGCTTCCTTAGTGTGTAGCTTAATGGAGAGTGGTGTGTTTATAGCTAAGGATATTTAGAGAGGTTTGCAGTTTCTACACTTTTTCCGATTTGTTGGATTACTGTTTTTCCTTCCTTTCTGTATTTGATATTAAGGATTGCTCGTTTACTGTGCTAGACGTGATGGGCTAATAATGCCCATTTTTACTTTTATTTACTTTTAGGATATCAACAAACCCTTAAAGATGACTTAATCACTTCGCATATGCCTGTGGTTTGCCTTTAGATACAGTGTGAACAGAAGTGTTTTACTATAAAGTACAGACATTGACTGCTGCTGGATGTCATGGGAGTTTTTCAGCACACAGTATCTGGGGGACAAGATACAAGGATATAAGAAACTACACAGCTATAAAAACAGGAACCAGGTCACTTCAGTCCCGGAGGATGTGAACACCACTGCCGTGTGTGTTAGAAAGTTCAAGGATTGGATTAGAAGACGTGAGTCTGAGCTCAAGTGAAGACCTAATGGGAGCTGAAGGAACAGTAGTGGCCTTTTAATCCCAGCACTCTTGAGTTACAGCCCAGCCTGGTCTACAGAGTGAGTTCCAAGACAGCCGGAGCTACACAGAGAAACCTTGTCTCAAAAATCCAAAAAAGAGAAGGCAGCTGCTGCCGCCATGGTTCCCTCAGGGATCTGGAAGTACTTGGTGGGGCTGGAGAGATGGCTCAGAGGTTAAGAGCACTGACTGCTCTTCCAGAGGTCCTGAGTTCAATTCCCAGCAACCACTTGGTGGCTCACAACCATCTAATGAGATCTGGTGCCCTCTTCTGGCCTGCAAGTGTACATGCAGACAGAACACTGTACACATAATATACTTGGTGGTGGTGATGGTATTTTGCACTGAGTCGGAGGTGAGAGGAAGAGGCAGACATGTTTATCCTAACGGCCGCGCTGACACCAGAAGTGTGGAGGGCGAGCTGAGGGGTTGATGTGGGATTCTTGCAGCAACACAGGCAACCACGTGAAGTTCTGAGTGGACTGGAGCCAGACTGGGCTCAGTGTGACAACAGCACAGGTCCAGGGGCAGACGACTCCCAACGTGTGGCCATAGACACAGGGCGATGGGATTGCCGGTGACTCCTCCTCTAGACAGCCCTCTGCCCATATCCCCACCTACTCCAACTCCAGTAGCCTCCACTCCGGCTGCCCCCCCCCTTTCTCTCATTCTGAATCTTTTTTTTTTTTTAAAAAGCTCTGCTTGGGGTCTGAGCAGTTATTTATTATGTATACAGTGTTCTGCCTACACACCAGAAGAGGGCACCCGATCTCTCATTACAGATGGTTGTGAGCCACCATGTGGTTGCTGGGAATTGAACTCAGGAACTCTGGATGAGCAGCCAGTGCTCTTAACCTCTGAGCCATCTCTCCAGCTCCTCATTCTGAATCTTAATTTTTCTAGGGGTGGTAGTGGCATCATCTGACCCAGGAGTGGTTTAACAGATGACGCAGTCAGTGGGGAACACATGGGTTTGGAGGAGGCAGCAAGGACACAGCCCTTGTTTCAGACTTCTTGTGCTATTTGGATTTGATATTTTTTTCCTGTTGACTGCCATAACTGCAGATTTTATCTTGCAGTGGTGAAGTTAAAATCAATTTCCCTTGATTCTAGCATCAATAACCACAATAGTTTTGCTTAGCAAACACAAAGCACACGTCCAAATGTCTCGTCAACACTTACTTTTGGAAGCTCCTTCCGCATGAAGGCCGAGGTCCAAGAGCTGTGAAGGGAGGAACTGGGAGGCTCCCACCGGAGGCTCCTGGGCTGTGAGGCCAGCACTGGGGCTCCCACAGGCTGTCTGACATTCCTGGGGAAGCTCACTAGCACTCGAAGAAGTGGGGCTCAGGAGGCTGTTCAGAAATGCGAATTCCTTCTCAAAGTCATCTCCTTCCAGCGAGTCTCTAGGCAGAGCTTTTGCCACTGCTGGTTGAGAACAGAAAGAGGAAATGAGGAGGATGTAGAACTAATTCTGCTTTTCCCTTATGGCATTAACACGATTTTAAACAACTATATTTGCCGGACGGTGGTGGCTCATTTTAATCCCAGCATTTGGGAGGCAGAGGCAGGTGAATCTCCGAGTTTGAGGCCAGCTTGGTCTACAGTGAGGGAGTTCCAGAATACTCAGGTCTAAAGTCTCAAAAAAACCAACCAAACAAAAACCCTTTCCTATATTCTTCCTTCTTCCTTGATGGCAGTCTCAAATTTGGCTCAGAGGTTGTTCATCCTGTTACCAGCTTAACAAAAGATTTTAAAATTATAGTTGGATTGAGTCTGCGGTCTTTTCTCAGGGGTCACAGACTAACAGTTCCCTTCTTACACCCAATGTGGTTCCTGGGCAATGAACTCAGTCATCAGGTTTGCTGGCAAGAGCCATTCCACCCACTCCCAACCCGACGTTTTGGATGGGGGTTGGGGATCCAAAATCAGGCCCTTTTGGACATCTACCCAATCCCTGCCTTGTTTTCATATTTTATATATTTTATATGTATAGTGTTTTGCCTGCATGTATGTACATGTACCAGTGAGCATGGTTGGTGTCCATAGAGGACAAAGAGGGTGTTAGATCACATGGCCCTAGAGTTACAAATGGTTGTGAGCCACCAAGTGGGTACTGGGAATCAAACCTGGGTCTTCTGGAAGAGGAACCAGCATTTTTAACCACTGAGCCATCTTTTCAGCTCCACAATTAATATTTTTTGGAGACTTATTTATGTATATGGGTGCTTTTGTCTGCATGTACATCTGTACACTAGATAGGCATTGGAATTCATGAAACTATAATTCTAGAGAGTTGTGAGCCTGTTAAACACTGAGCCATCTCTCCAGCCTTCTACTTGCTGTGGGATAATGCTTTTGTACACTGTAAAGATTTATCACTCATATTGGTTTAATAAAACATTGATTGGCCAGTAGCCAGGCAGGAAGTATAGACGAGGCACTCAGAATTCTGGGAAGAGTAAGTCACCAGACAGACACAGGAAGCAAGATGAAAATGCCTCACTGATAAAAGCTGCCAAGTCATGTGGATAAACATAGACAAGAATTATGGGTTAACTTAAGTTGTAAGAGCTAGTTAATAAAATTTCTGAGATAGGGCTGGAGAGATGGCTCAGTGGTTAAGAGCATTGCCTGTTCTTCCAAAGGTCCTGAGTTCAATTCCAAAAATCCACATGGTGGTTTACAACCATCTGTAATGAGGTCTGGTGCCCTCTTCTGGCCTGCAGGCATACACAAAGACAGAAAATTGTATACATAATATTTTTTTAAAAATGGCTGAGGGGGGAGGGAAATGGGAGGCGGTGGCGGGCAAGAGACAGAAATCATAAATAAAAATTAAAAAAAAATGTCTGAGGGGATGGAGAGATGGCTCAGTGGTTAAGAGCA